AGGGAGTTTCGCCGACATAGGCTCTCTGTAACCGGTCAGCACTCGATTCTAGGAGAAGAGAGCGATTCCAAGCATCACAGGGATAATGAAGGATACAACAAGAGAAGAGAAAGAGACAGAGAGAGAGAGAGAGAGAGAGAGAGAGAGAGAGAGAGAGAGAGAGAGAGAGAGAGAGAGAGAGAGAGAGAGAGAGAGAGAGAGAGAGAGAGATGGAGAGAAGGAGAGAGGGAGAGAGGGAGGGAGGGGGGAGAGAGAGAGAGAGAGAGAGAGAGAGAGAGAGAGAGAGAAAGAGAGAGGGGGTGGGAGAGGGAGTGGGAGACGGAGACGGGGACGGAGGCGGAGACAGAGAGGGAGACAGAGAGGGAAACGGAGAGTAGAGGGAGACGGAGAGGGATACGGAGACGGAGACGGAGAGGGTGACGGAGAGGGAGACGGAGAGGAGAGGGAGACGGAGAGGGAGACGGAGACGGAGACGGAGACAGAGAGGGAGACGGAGAGGGAGACGGAGAGGGAGAGGGAGAGGGAGAGTGAGAGGGAGAGGGAGAGGGAGGGGAAGAGGGAGAGGGAGAGGGAGAGGGAGAGGGAGAGGGAGAGGGAGAGGGAGAGGGAGAGGGAGCCTGATCAAGCACGTCGATTGTTTCCAGCTCCCGCATAGTGAGGGAAGTCTTAACCCAGACAGCCACACCACCGCCATGGAGAATCCTGTCATGCTGCAAGGATGAGAAATAGCCAGGGACCGTCAGCTCTGCTTGCGTAGTACTTTCTGGGGTGAGCTTGGTTTCTGTGGTGATGGCGATATCAGGTTGAACTTGGTCTAGGGTGTGCTGGACCTCACCGAGTTTGGATTGCAGCCCGAAGGCATTTGTGACCAGGAGCGTTAGGCTGGGGGCATCATTCTGATTGCTGCTCAGTAATAATAATAATAATAATATTCGCGGGATCCGCGTCGGCATCGCTTGAATGTTCAGAAACACAAACTAGCCTTCGCATCCGCAGGCCACCACTATGCCTATTAACCTTAGTGGCGAATGCAGACCTCACAAGAGAGTCAGGGGAGAGGATGTTAGTCTCTCAACCAAGCTCAGTGCGTCCCTTAAATCGCCAAGGCCTCGCTTACATGTGCTCTGGGGGCAGGCGACGCCCAGTCAAATAAGAATTCAAGTCAGCTAGAAGAACAAATTGTAGTTTCTCTGAACCAAGTGTCCTGGAATTTTTTTCACTTCCAACCATTTTACCCAACGGTTGCACTAAATTTATGACACTTGCAGGTGGATGTTTCATGTCCTGCAATTCGTTGCCTATATAATCGTGCTGTGTTATTCAAAAATACAGTATAACCTAGTTTAAATGACCACCCAACGGTGTAAGCAAAAGCAGTCAGCTCTCACTTGGTCTATGGAACCAGGACCCATACCCATACATTCGGGATATGTCGGATTGTGTACATACATGTGCATGATTGTACTTCCATGTACTCATGTTGACAGGTGTGGAGCATAGAAAACTTTCTGCAGGCTCACTCAAGTGCATGCAGCGCATCCTAGTAATATTACTAGTAAACATAATTATGATGAAGAGAGGAAAAGGACAAAATGTTACGAGTTATGACTAACTGTCCACCAACATAACCAGATCTTATACAGTCAGCGAGTGCGACAAAATGGCACAAAACTGATAAGCAGTACTGAGACATTCGGCAACCTGACACCTACGTCCAACACTTTTCCAATGCGCAAACCAACAACCTTCCAACTTGGAAGGCTCAGGTTCGGACGGGGTCCCCTCTTGGACCTTTCCAAATCTGATAGTGTCATGCATCAGGAAGACCGTTACATATTGGAGTCTTGTTTTGTAGAATTCGTATTCGCAAAGCTTCCCCCTTTCTTTATCTCCGATATTGCTGATTGCTCATCAACCTGTAACAGTCGGCATTCTTTGTTGCCGCAGGACTTAGCTTGTGCTTCGCTCACCCCCCCCCCCCCCCCTTCGGTCCTACGTAAACATGAACCTTCCATGTTGGAAGGCTGCTGGTTTGTGTACTGGAGAAGGGTTAGAGCTAGGTCTCGGGTCGCTGAATGTCTAGGTAACCTGTCAGTTTTGTGCCGTATTATCGCACTTTCTTACAGTTAATCATCTTTTTACAGTCGTAGATAGTTGCTGCATAATTCGTTCTCATGTGTTTATTCTCTTTTTTTACAATAATAATAATAATCATAATCATAATAATGAGATGAAGTTGGGAGGCTTCCTGCAGTTTCATAGTAAGTGCACTTGGGTGAACCCACCCATTCAAAAATATTCTGCAAATTTCCGAACCATTCCATTATACAACGTTTCGGCCAATGGCCTTCTTCAGGTAGACGTACTGGCCGCGTATGACAAGTACAGACCATCAAGACCCAATATATCAAAAGAAGATCGACAGGAACTGACCCGTCTGAGGAAAGCACCAGACATCATCATCGAACCATCTGATAAAAGCAAAAAAAATGGTAGCAATGAAGCAGGAGCTCCACTTGCAAAAGGCGGAGGCATTACTATCAGATGCAGCGATGTACGAGAAGGTGGACTTAACGATCGAGGCATTTAAAAAGAAAAGCTACGAGCTTGAAAAACGCGTGCCACACTCGTAGCTGCAAAAAATGTGTCATATCCTTGGCATTGACATGAGTCGTGCGTTCCACACTGTTCGCCGTGATGTCCTTTTTGAGGTCCTGCACTCATTCCTGGACGCCAACGACTTACGCATAGTGCAGATGCTGCTCACCAATACATGGCTTGAGCCTCGCATAAGAGGTGCACCACTAGAGAAGTTCTCCACAAACATCGGAGTCCCACGTTGATGGTGACGCTTAATGGCTGGGTTTTGCACCTCCTGTACAGGGTCTCGTTCGATATGTGCCGGGGATGATGCATGTCAATGATTGAGCGGAGCTGTCGTCGGTGGAAACTGTCCATTCAGGCCATTTCAGTTTTGGAAAGACCCCAGGTGCCACTGTTGTACGTGAGGACAGATATGATGTCAGGCGAAATAGCACGTCATAGTACATTCGAGATCAGCGGGAAGAAGATGACGACGTCCACTAATTTAGTATCTGTGCACACGAATCTGCTGTGTGTGTTACTCTGTGTGTCAGCTATGGCATCATCGTCTGTGGTTCCATTCCTAGAATGTACGTCTGAACCATCCTGCAAAGTTTGAATGACGTAGGTTGAGTGATCGCTCCGCGAAACATACTTTTTGAAATTCTCTTCAAAGTATATCTTCAACCACTGAAATTTCGAATTTCTTCGAATTTTTTGCTGAGAGGGGTGGCTTGCAACCTCGATATGGCTTGTTCCAGGCTTGCTTTGGAGCCATCGCCTGTTGAAACAGTGGCGGGAAGCTGCCCTGCAACTGTTCCAGCAGGAAATTAATCGATCCGAGAAAGTGCGAGTCCGCGAATCTCGGTTGAATATTGAGTATTTCAAGCCTTTTCACGACGAAGATGGAGTTCTTTTTGGAGATGGACGTCGCGGCAAAGGACATGGTCTCCGACTTCTGGCGTCTGGTAAAGCCAGGGATCATTTGTCCAGTCTGGTCGGCAGCCTAACGGTCGGTAAGCTTGTGTTTGGATCCCGTTCTGCTCGATGTGGTAGATCACAAACAATTTGATATCGCACAAATTGATCTCAGCATCGTGCGTACGGTATTTTATATTCAGAAAATCCCAAAATGTCTCTGTGTGGCCGTCCTATGCCACGAGAAACTCCAATCCGGCTCCTATGTCCTCTGCCCTCATGATTGAATGTCCACTTCGTTTGAACAACGAACACAACAATCGAGGACGGCTTTGCAATGAAAAATACAGCTATACTGGAGCTGAAAAAGAAAAGAAAAAACGTGCTCAGGATGAGACTCGAGTACACGCATACTCTCCCAGCAGGTGAAACGCAAATTTTTCTGAAAAATGCGTGTCGCCGACTGACCAGTAATTTCGCCTGACGATGTACGCCTCATACAGTCGCAGCCTGAGACGCTCGCTGATTTCGCCACACAGCTAGCCATCGCATGTCATCACGTACATTGAAAATCAACATAATTTTGCGAATCGACCTTTTTTCAGGATCACTTTTAAACGAGGACGAAGCAAAGTCGGCCGAACGAAGCCTAGAGGAAGAAAATCACCCTCTCCACTTCACCACGATACTGACATAGATACAAGATGAAACAACTAAAAAATCCACAAGAAAACTGTAAGGCCATCATCGCGCTGACTTTGGTCTGACTTTAGTCTGAGAATTTCTATCACGATCAAAAATGTACGAGGAGCACTCAAAAATAAGCCACACACGTACCGTTATCGCTCTCTACTCCTTGTTCAAGGCACAACAGTCGTCTCTCCACTTTCAAACCAGGAACTAGACAAACCAGTGGTCCTTTTCAGCAGCTCCACAAGCACAAGAAATGTTCACCAAGGGGCGCAGAGCAGAGTACACACACTTGAGAGGGACGAAAAGCGTTTCTTCTGTAACTCTGAGTTTCACGGTTTTAACCGATCATCAGACTAGATCAGGTCTCATGATCGGTTAAAACCGTGAAACTCAGAGTTACAGAAGAAACGCTTTTCGTCCCTCTCAAGTGTGTGTACTAGGCTCTGCACCTTGGTGTATTGAGCACTCTCACGAGCAATCACAACTCCCTCCGAGTTTACATGAGTACATGTATGAGTACATGCAGAAAATAGTCAATTTCAGCGTTTCTGCTCCAAACAGCAACTAGCTTCGACTAGAAACAAAGATTACGCCAAAGGATCAAACAACAACCATTTTCTGCTGTTTTCTGCAGATGGCTTCCTTGTGCTTGGCCCAGCACGCCAAAAATCACACCTTGGAGGAGTACAAGAATTACAACTCTCAGATGTCCTCGATTGCTGGCCATGCATCGGAACCAGAGAAGGTACATGGACAAAATGCGCAGCCACCAAGTTGTCTCCGTCTGGCAGCGTCTTCAGCATCCCCTAGCAAAGAGCCAATTTTTTAACTGATCTCCACACTTCGTCAGTCCGGTCGGGTTTCCTTGATACTTCTGCATACTCGGTTTTCGACGCATTGATGTTCAAATGCCATTTGCCGAGAATGGTTGGGGCAATGGTTTCTAATTCCCGAAGGTAGGCTTCACTGTGGCTAATGAAGCCAACGTCGTCTGCGTAACCGATGTTGAGGGGCAGACCGCCATCTGACAATGGTCGGACCGGCAATGCCTGTCGCAGCTCCTTGAGGGCAGCCTCTAAGTAAAAGATGAATAGAACGGTAGAGAGGCTATCGCCTTCTGGGACTCCAATGTTTGTGGAGAACTTCTCTAGCGGTGCACCTCTTACCCGAGACTCAAGCCATGTATTGGTGAGCAGCATCTGCACTATGCGTAAGTCGCAGGCGTCCAGGAATGAGTGCAGGACCTCAAGAAGGACATCACGGCGAACAGTGTGGAACGCACGACTCATGTCAATGCAAAGGATAGGACAATTTGTTTGCAGCTACGAGTTTGGCACGTGTTTTTTCAGGCTCGTAGCTTTTCTTTGTGTATTTTATTTATTTATGCTGCTGCATCCACTACCACTCTGTATGCACTACCACTCTGCATCCACTACCACTCTGCATCCACTACCACTCTGCATCCACTACCACTCTGCATCCAGTACCACTCTGCATCCACTACCACTCTGCATCCACTACCACTCTGTACGCACTACCACTCTGCATCCACTACCACTCTGCATCCACTACCACTCTGCATCCACTACCACTCTGCATCCAGTACCACTCTGCATCCACTACCACTCTGCATCCACTACCACTCTGCATCCACTACCACTCTGCATCCACTACCACTCTGCATCCACTACCACCCTGCAACACTACCTTGATGCTTCCAAGTGCACCCTGGCACATTCGATTTTTCTTGACCAGCACCCTGCTCATTTACAGTCCCTTAATTGGTTCAATTCAGGTGGCACCACCCGAAGCTGCGATTGTCTCCCCCTAGCTAGGTCTACCCTATTCGTAAATTCCCCTTTCTTTTCCTCCTACTCCACGTGGCTCCAACTGCCTCCCGGTGTTAGCAAGCTCCAGATATGCCCAAATTCCGTACCCTCGTCAGACAGCACTTCAGTATCTCCCAGTAAACAAAGTCACAGTCCCCATTTCCGCTGCATAGCTCGCTGAGCATCCCATTGCTTTGTAAGTTGCTAATCCCTTCCCACTATGTGTACATGCTCTTCATTTTCTTTTTTCTCTTCTTCCGTGGTTGGTCTCACCCTCTCCTCAATTCAATTGGCTGTCTTGACAGGCAACGAGGTGCAGAAATAAATGAATAAATAAGAAAGTAAAAGACGTACTTGCAACAGAGTGAAGCGGCATGGACAAGAAGCTATTGGATGACATCCAACCGTTATGTACAAGATTCCCGGAATGGTACGGCCTCCCGAAGGACCACAAACAGAATCTGCCATTGCGGCCTGTTGTGACCGCTTGTGGTGGACCTACCACTGGAATCTCAGTTATACTACTTGGTCCGACCAGCTACAATTGGCGCTTATCTTCACACTTGTCTCAGGAAGGAAATACGAATATTAGAAACAAGCCACGATCACAAAGCACTATGTACATGATTATTTACATGTCAGTAAGCAACTCAGTCGACAATTCAAGCAAGTTACACATCCTCCTCCCCACTATCGTCGCTGGAGGAAGAGCTGAAATGTTCGATCCGGACAGCTGCTGCACATTTCATAGCTTGTTCCACTTCTCCTCGTCTCGAATCACGCTCAAAGGCAGTGCATGCCTGTCACCTTGCCGATGAGAAGCTGAGTGAGACTGCCCGCATGTTGGTCAATGGTTATATTCGGATGGTGAATCGGTGGTTCCATGCCGTGTGACATAGGCAGAACACCGAAAAACCAAGTGAGAAGATAAGCGCCAATTCTAACTTGGCGGACCAAGTACAACGTATACTACAACAACTCTTTGGATCTGTACCGGCACACCTAGCTAATACAACAGAAGCTTTCGACTGCATCAAGGACCAATGTCCTGGTCTAAAAGCTCCTCAAGGTACAATCGTCGTGACTTTGGACGTAGTCGGCTTATACCCCAGCATCCCAATCCAGGAAGGGGTCGATGCTGTGATGGAGGAGTTAGAGAACCACTTAGAGCAGATCGACACGTTTGGCCTCAGCCTGAACGTGGTACGTAACCTGCTGCAATTTGTGCCGAGCCACAATTATTTCGAGTTCTGACATCAGGTATATCATCAGATCGACGGGGTTGCCATGGGCAACGGCCTGGCACCACCCTTCGCCATTATCTTTATGCATACAATCGAGACCAGAAGTCTACAGACCGCAGAGATCAAGCCACTAGTGTACAAGCGCTACATCGACGACATCCTAATCCTCTGGACCTATGGCAGACAGCGGCTTCTACAGTTTGTACAGCTCTTCAACTCGAGGCACGCACACGAGCTAGAAAGCCAAAGCGTCAGCGTTGGACAAACCCATCCAGTGCCTTCTTGAAATTACCGTACAAATCTGACCAAGTGGATCATGCTGTAAACAAAGCCATACGAAAATATAAAATACCCGTCAGAGTCGTGTACGAGAATGCTGGAAGCCTGAAGCGTACATTGCGCCAGTCGGCCCTATAGTCAGTTTCAAAAAGATTAGCAATCCTGGCGATCGCCCGGGGAGTTTGCCGTCTTACCGTATGAGCGGTCGAGCGCTGCCTGGAAAACTCACTGTGAACTCGAAGAAATATTCCGCGCGAAAGCATGAAAAATGACAACTCAATGACGTCGGTACTCGTACATGTTCGTCTGGTTTACAACAAACGAGTTCTTCCTCGCATCGATATGGAGTCAGAGAGGACATGTCGAAATAATAGTTACAGTTCGCATGTCACTCATGGAAGGATCCATGGGCTTAACGCATCTGTCAACGAAATCCAGGCAGAAGAGCCGACAAAAGGCATCTCATTATTGTTAGAACGTATCGCAGTAAGAACAACTACGCAAGCGCAGCACATTTTCCACAAGCATCAGCCATTCTTTCTTGTCTAGAGCCAGTTCAAAACAGTCAGAAATATCAATATTGGCGTGCTTTAGATCACTTTTAATATTGTCAATCCATCTGAGATGGGGTCGGCCACGTGGGCGCTTGATGTCCCGGGTATCAATTGCCATCTCCAGTGCTTGGTAGGACGCTGAGTTACGTCCTTCGCGAACAACATGGCCCAGCCAGAGCAGCCGACGTCTGCGACAGGTAGTGCTGACTGGGCCTTGTCGCGTTGAGGCGTACACCTTGGCATTCGACATGTGGTGAGGGTACACCACACCAAGCAGGTACCGCAATTTTCTGCGGTGCCATGCGTCCAGCCGATTACTGAGTTGCTGTGTCAGGGCCCACAGTCCGCAGTTATACAACAGGATAGGCAAAATGAGGGCAGAGAACATACAAAGTCTGGAGCTCAGTTTATGACGCTTCCACGAAATGGAGCCGAACGCTCTATTCGCAGCACCTATTCTTGCCTGAATATCCTCTGCGGACCCCAACAAAGAGCCAAGCAGCTTGACAGATCGCCAAGAGGAGTCGGCTTTAGTTACTGTAATATATTGTGTTTTCTGAATATTTAACATTAGGTTATCTTCTTTGAATTTTTCACTTGATTTCTCCACAATCTCCTCGACTTCTCGCCTCTCCGTGTCATGGATTGTTGTGTCGTCTGCATATTGGGTGGTTGGTGCTGGTAAAGATAAGTGCGATAGTATAGGATCAAGGTGGCGCATGGCTCCCTCAGCATACACATTGTACATGATGGGAGACAGCGGATCCCCCTGCACTACTCCGATATTTGTAGCAAACGCTTTGCCTAAATGAGAACTGAGTTTCACTCTCACCGTCGTGTCCGAGATCAGAGTGGCAACGACATCAGTGGCAGCTCCAGAGTCTGAAAATCGCGCCAACGCCTTCTCACGGACAATGGTATCAAATGCTCCGCTGAAGTCTAATAGTGCGGCAGAGTATTTCCAGTCACCGAGTAGTGCACGTTCGCACATGACACGCGTATAGAAAACTCAGTCAGCCGTGGAGCGTCCGGGTGTAAAGCCTGCCTGACTTTCACGTACATATGAGGTGGTAGATTGTTGTGAACGCATGGTGATGATGCGGGTCAGCACCTTGCGAACAACTGATAGCAGCATGACCGGTCTGTAACTTTTCGGTGCACCCATAGGTTTTCCTCGTTTGTATACTGGCACCAGAAGGCCACATCTAAGGTCAGGTGGGCAATAGTGGAGTTCCTTAATGGAGTTGAATAGGGTAGTCAGCCATGGAGTAATGACAGTCGAAGCCGTACGTAGCAGTGCCGCACTGATCCCATCACATCCAACAGCGCCTCCGATTTTCTGGTGCATGATGGCCTTCCTAATCTCTTCAGAGGTAAATGGTTCGTCTTTCGCCTTACTGTTAGGCTGTGCCGGGAAAAGCGTTGGCTGGTCGCTCCGGTAAAACACTGATGCGAAATACTTGCTGAATTCCTCCAAATTCCAATTTACATTTGTGACATTTTCACCACTATCATTTGCGAGTCGTACTGGGGAAGGTTTGTCAGGATTTCGAAGTGCTTTTAGCTGTTTGATGGCATTGAAGTACGATCTTGCATCCGGTCGTAATGCGTCCACTGCCTCCGCTTTGTGCTGCCAATATAAGTCACCTTCGTTTCTGAGTAATGCTCGGATACGGTGAAGGATCTTGTTTCTACTTTGTGTTAGTTCTTTCCGCTTGTTCGGATCTTTTTCCATATGTATCCGGCTGTGAATTTCTTTTTGTTGAGTTGATAGCTCAATGACAGCAGGGCTCGTACTTCTAGCAATCCTCTTCTGTGGTTTCTTTCTTCCAAATGCCTTTTCCGCTGCTGCATGGGTAGATGACACAAATCTCTCCCAGGTTTGGTCTAGCGTGGAAATATCTTCAGGCGAGGTGTTTATGTCTGGCAACGTGCTTGCTATGGCATTTTTGAAACTTTCAGCAGAGTCTTGTGTGGGTTCGTTGTACTTGATGAAACAGCGGTCGTTGGTTGCTTTAGATGTTGTACACCGCCAGAATGTTAGTCGAAAATCTGCAATAACCGGATGGTGATCGGATCTTGTTGTGAATCCACCGTATGACCTGGCATTCACAACGCGCACTGTGTTTGATCTTCGCATAATCACAAAATCAATCATGTTTCGAACAGGTTGGCCATCCCTGTGTACGAGCCCATCCGAGAACCATGTCGAACGATGCTGCATACGATGTTTGAACATGGTGTTGCACAACATCAGATTTTGCTCCTCACACAGCTCAATCAGTCTCTCACCGTTCGCGTTGCTTGATACGTGCTTGGAGAAACATCCCACTGCACCTCCTGAAGCAGGTCGGGCGCTCCCTACTTTTGCATTCAGGTCTCC